AAGAGAAAGAAAGGAAGGAAGGAAGGAAGGAAGGAAGGAAGGAAGAAAAGATGTACTGTGCTCACAGCTTGGAAAACTTTGTGCTGGGCCTTATTCATATTGGGCATATGGGCCACTGCTGAACTACAACCCTAGCCCAACATCCAACATTTTATTTTATTTATTGGGGGAGTGGTGGGACAAGGTTGTTTATACAATATAAGACCAGGCTGGTGCTGAACTTCCAGAGATCCTCCTGCCTCTGCCTTCTGAATTCTGGGACTAAAAGCATGCAACACCACACCTGAACCCCAGCCCAACATTTTAAAACATCAATACACCCTAAGTAATTTAAAGACTTAGGCAATTGCTATTAATACCCAATGGTGGTTTTGGAAAAATAGAAAAACCTACCTTAAACAGAGCATGCCTGTAATCCCAGAGCTTGTGGGAAAAGCTGAGGCAGCAGGACTTCAGGTAATGTGTGTTATGAAGGGTAGATTGGTGTGAAGATGCCCTACACACAGTCTTCTATGTCTGTGGATTCTGCATCAACACATTCAACCAGCTGTGACAGAAAATATTTGGTGAGGGCATGAGATAGCTCACCTGCCAGTCAAGGCCACAGAATGAGACTGTCTCAGTAATAGGGAAGAGAGTAAGAGGAGGAAGGAGGGAGGAAGGGAGAGAGAGAAAAACCCTAAAACTCACAGAGTCTCAAGGAATCCTTAGAAGTCCCCACCCCCAAGCAAACTTGAAGGCCTCAAACTTCCTGATTTCAAACTTAACTGCAAGGCTACAGTAATCAGTACAGTGTAGTACTAACATTAAATCAGACATATAGCTTGGTGGTGATGGCACGAGCCTTTGATCCCAGCACTCGGGAGGCAAAGACAGGTGGATCTCTGTGAGTTAGAGACCAGTGTGGTATAAAAAGTTACACAGGGAAACCCTGTCTCAAACCAATAAAAACAAACAACAACAACAACAACAAATAAGACATATAGACTATTGGAAAACAACAGAAAGCCCAATAGATAAGAAACATAGCTGGGGGCTGGAGAGATGGCTCAGAGGTTAAGAGCTCTGGTTGCTCTTCCTGAGGTCTTGAGTTCAATTCCCAGCAACCACATGGTGACTCACAACCATCTATAGTGAGATCTGGTGTCCTCTTCTGGTCTGCAGGCATACAAATACAGGCAGAACACTGTACGTAATAAATAAAGAAGCCTTAAACAATATTTAAAAAAGGAAGGAAGGAAGGAAGGAAGACCCATAGCTGGGTGGTGATTGCACACACCTTTAATCCCTGCAGAGGCAGATGGATCTCTATGAGTCCAAGGCCAGTCTGGTCTACAGACCAAGTTCCAGGACAGCTATGACTATATAAACCAAAACAAGAAAGGAAAAAAAAAAAGAAAAGAAGCACACATATTTATGATCATTAGTGCACATGTGATGTGTGTATGCATGAAGTATTAAATGACTTTAAAAATATTTTTTGAATCTGACTATTTTGTCTGAAAATGTGTATAAAACATGCATCCATTGCCTTTGGAGGCCAGATGAAGGTGCTGAATTCCTCAGAACTAGAGTTGCAGCCAGTTGTGAGCTTCCTTCTCTCCAGCCCCACCAAATGACTGTTCCAGATGACTGCTGTTGTTCGTGTGTGTGTGTGTGTGTGTGTGTGTGTGTGTGTGCTTTTAATATTGGAGAAGTAAGTTTACTGTAGATAAAAGAGAGAGCATAGTCAGAAGCAGGGACATCTGGGAGAGTCCAGAGTGACCGTGACCAGGCTGAGCTGGGCAATGTTGAAGATAGGGAAAGGAGAGAGGAGAATTAGGTGCAGCAACCAGGAGGCTGGCCAAAGATCTAATGCACCAAACAACTTTTGACAAAAGTGGCAAGACAGAGAGACTGAGTGTCCACATACCAAGCTGAGAGCATAACTACTTGCTGGCAGGTTATGGAGGAATTGGAACTCTTATGCATGACTGGCAACAGAAAATGATGCAACTATCTTGGAACACTGGCAGCTTATCACCAAACAAAACAATTACTGTAAGACTTAGCAAGTCTAATCTTTTTTAGTGTGTAGCTAAAGAATTAAAATTGGGGTAGAGAGATGGCTCAGTGGTTTAGAGCACTTTCTGCTCTTCCAGAGAACCTGGTTCAATTCCCAGCACCCACATGGCAGCTCACAGCCATCTGTAAATCCAGTTCCAGGGGATCCAACACCCTCTTCTGGCCCCTGGTGGTACCAGGCATGCACATGATGCAGACATAAATGAGCACAAGACATTCATAACGCATACATTTAAAACAAAATTAAAACCAGGGATTCAAACAGATCTTTTACAGAGTGTTCTGGCTAGTTTTATGTCAGCTTGACACAAGCTAGAGCTTTATCTGAAAAAGAGGGGGCCAATTGAGAAAATGCCTCCATAAGATCCAGCTGTAGCATATTTTCTTAATTATCAGTGGGGGAGGGGCACAGCCCATGGTGGGTGGGGCCACCTCTGGGCTGGTGGTCCTGGGTTCTATAAGAAGGCGGAGAAAGCCAGGGGAAACTAACCAGTAAACAGCAAGCAGCTCCTTCATAGCTTCTGCATCAGCTCCTGCCCCATTTGAGTTCCTGTCCTGACTTCCTTTGATGATGTATGGTGCTGTAGAAGTGTAAACCAAGTAAACCCTTTCCTTCCCTACTTGCTTTTTGGTCATGGTATTTCATCACAGCAATGGGAACCCTGACTAGGACGCACTGATTCCACAGTGCTGTTTCCCACAGTGGCCAACGGTGTAAACAGTTCAGTGTTGTGAGGGATGAAGGGTAAACAAAATGTGGTTACCTGAAGGAAGGATCAGTCACTTTATTTGGGAATATTTTTTCAATAAGATCTGACTATGTAGACCAGGCTGATCTGGAGCTTACAGAGATCCACCTGCCTCTGAGTCCTGGGATTAAAGACTGGCTCTTTAAAAAAAAAAATGTTTTTATATGTAAGAGTGCTTTTGCCTGCATGTATATATATGAGCCATGTATGTGCCTGATGCCAAAGAAATTAGAAAAGGTCATCAGATACCCCGGAACTGTAGTTATGGATAATTTTGAGCCACAATGTGGGTGCTGGTAAACAAACCAAGGTCCTATACAAGAGCAGTCAGTGCTCTTAACATCTGAGCCATCTCTCCAGTTCCTCAGTCAACACTTAAAAGGAAGACAATTTAGATACATGCTATATAGCCTAGATGAACCTTGAAAACATACTAAATGAAATACATTCACAAATGGACAAACACTATGTTAGCACCAGGTATGTGGGTACACAGTCAAATTTAGACTCAAAATTGTGGGTGTTCAGTGTTTGGAGATGAGGGCTCAGTGTTCAATGGAGAATTTCTGGTGTGATGAAATGGTTCTGGGAATGGTGGCAACAGCTGCATAGCCTTGTGAATATGTTTATTAATACTACTACTACATTGTATACTTTACAATGGTTACTAAGATAAATTTTGTCATGCACATTTGAGGTGGTGCCCTAAAATAAAAATTAAAAGGCAGTTTGGAAAGGGCCTATGTAGGAGGGACTTGGTTGTGTGGTCTTTTGCACAAGCTGCTCACTCTCTGCTGATTAGTCCGGAGTTGGCTCCAGCTGCTTGGGGCCTCAGGGTGATCAGAATTCACAGAAACAACCCCTCCCCCCTTAAGGGAGGAAGTTTAAATTATCAGGTCAATTAGCAAAGATACAACCGGAAAAAAAAAATCCAAGTTTCATTCACACTTCAAGAAGGTTGTTTCCTGGTTGGGTGCCACTTTTATTATTTTTGGCCCAGGCTACTGAAAGCCCCACAGATCCTTGGAAGGTACAATGTGATCTTTGATCCCCATTTCAAGGATCAAAGCGAGTAAGTTTGGGTGTAAATGCAGATAACATTTCAGAGATTTTTCATGAAAAGGGTCACCAGAGCGGGGCAAGCAGAGAGCTGGTATGTTATACATGCTTGCTTTCAGAAGTATCACCATGCAGCAACGCCTTCTGGTCCTTGTCCAAGTCCTTGGACCATCTAAACATGCGACTGGGTTGTGGTAGGACATCACGAGGACACGGAGGAGCTAGAGGGACAAACCCTCATATGCATGTGAAGGGCACATAGGCTCACCTCTTAGACTTTTTATAAAAAGTCTGGGTGCCGACTGGGCTCCCCAGTGCCTGGCAGCACGCTGGTCTAGGCACTGCCCTGTCCAAGAGTCATTGGCACCGTCCTCTCTGGATCCTGACAAAGACACACCCACGCGAGACGAGGCAAGTTACAGGCCTTGCTTGCTTGCCTGCGGCTACTATGATTCCAAGTGGAGGGATGTGCTGCCAGCTTACTCTGAGTGTTGCCGCTGGGGTGGAGATATGCAGACACTGGACCTTATCAGGCTCTGAGCATGGCACCGGACGGTGACAGGCATTGTGTGGACCTGTCACTCGGAGACATACACTCCCCAGGCCTGCAAGCTCAGCAGCCACTAGGTACAGGAGCTCTCGCGACCCAACCCACGCTGGCCCATGGCTCAGTCCTTCAGACGACAGGAAGAAGTGGGAAAGCGGCCTCTGCTCCTGCGGAATGACCAGCCGGCGGCTGCGCACACGGCCTCTAGGCGTGGGAGCGAGCGCGCCCTCCCATCACCCCCCGCGCCGCGCCGCGCCGCGCCATCGCGCAAGCACTTTACGGACATCTGCAAGGCTGAAGCCTCACGGCTCATGGCGCAGGCGCAGCAAGCCGAGCGTGCGCGCGCAGCCCCAAGGGAAGGCAAGCGTGGGGCGTCCCGGGTGGCAGTGCGCACGCCAGAGGGGGGCGTGGCTGACGAGGCGCTGGGCGAAATCCTAGGAACCGGCGTCCTCGGGTCGGATCTCAGCGGCGGGGTTAGTGGGACTGGGTCAGTGTCACGCCCCCGCCCCCCCTCCCGGTCTCGTTTAGACTCGCTCTTCATTTTGCAGGTGACTATGAGATCCTGGCCTCGGAAGCACACAGCTCTGTCCGGTGTCCGACAGCAGAGCATCTGACCCTGGCGGCCTCGTTTTGCACATTCTCAGGTAGGAGGGCTTCACTGACCCGGAGCTTGTGTCCTGCATGGCGGTTGCTGGCGGGCTGGTGGGCGGTGCTGGAAGTCCGTCTTTGGGCAAGTTCTGTTCCCGGGTCTCCTGGGTCTTGGAGCAAAGAACTCTGCCCGTGTGTCAGGTACCGCTAGTCCGCGCGCGCGCGAGAAATCCACAGACTGATAGGCAAGGGCGGTGTGGGATGATCTTGAGGCTCAAAGAGTGACTGGATCAGGATTAGGAAGACCTAGGTTGAAGCACGAGTTGACTGCTGGAAGTCCGTCTTTGGGGCCTGGGGCCTGATTTGTGGGCACTACTTTTTGAGAACTCACTGAGAGGTTGGATCTGGCTCCTGATTATAGTGATAATGTCAGGACAAGGGCTGGGCTTTCAGGTGTGAGTCAGGGGTCTACCTGAGATGGTCAGAATGCTTGGGTGGTAGAAATAGATAGGTCCTGATGGCAGCTAAGTGTTGCAAGTCACCTGGGAGGTGCTGGCACAAACATCAACTTTGCTGTACCTTTCTGAAGAAACGGACTCTGGAAAACCAGATGTGAAGATATATGCTGGTCTTGGTGCTCCTAGGACAGAGCTCGGGGAGGGATGAAGCAGAGAGTTGAGAGGAGGTCTCAAGTGGTGCTCGTCTCTCTAGAGAGAGACGGGAGCAGTGTGAGAGCCCAGAGGAGGCTCCTTGTCCTCCTTCCGGGTGTGGCCTTGTGAACACAGCTTGGAATAACCATCAGAAGGGGCTCAGGCCAGGTGCTGGTGGTGACAGAAGGACCCCTAAAGTGGAACTGCAGAGTATCGTCTTTGGGGGTTAGAGTGTCAGGTTATTGACTGGAATGAGGGTGAGGGAGGTATGCTCAGGATTGAGTAGCTCTGCCTGCAGGTGGTCTCTAGGATTCTGAGAGCATGAGGAAACACCAAGCTAGGCAACCTGGTGCTAGTTGGACAAGGATGTTTTGGCATGCACTGTTCTTAGTTTATAGAGTTCCAGGAGCCCATTCATTCCACTCCGAAGAGTAGTTTATAGCCTGTGAAATGATCTGTGGTTATAGTAGACTCTACTGCCAGGTTCCACTCCTCTGCTGTCATTTACTAATTGGTGTGTGGCTGCACACACATCAATTTACCACTCTTCCTTGGCAATAATAATAGTATCCAATGTGTGGGTAGTCAGCATTCAGCACAAATGGTGCAAATAACAGTTGCTATTCTCATTGTCCTAAAATTCCATGATGTTTTGATCTAGCTCCTTCTAGGATTGACAGCATCTTTCACTACTCTTTGAAAGTCACAGGCAGCATTTGTCTGTTTTCTTTACCCTCCCAGGTCAGCCCCTGGGTCCCTCCTTCCACTTAGAGCAGCTAATTAGGTCCCCGGGGGGTCTTCTGCCTGTTGCCTCCTCCTGTTAACTCAGTAGTGATGGTTGGGCCTAGTTCCTGCTCTTCCCCACCTTGTTTTTGGACAGATTTCCTTGGATGATGGCCTGTATCCGGTGGTCCCTCGACTCTTACCAACTCAGCTCCCTTGGCCCTCAGCATCTCCCTGGAATGGCAGTCTGCCACCCCTTGTTCAGCTGCTGTTGTGTTGTCCCTGCCTCATCTGTTTGCACCAGGCCTCGAGTGGGCCCTTTCTCCCTCTACTCCTGGCATGCCTCATGGCAGGTGCCATTGGCAGAGCCCTGGTAATCCTATATAGGTGGCAGCCAGTTTCACCAGTGTACACCGTTGGCAGCAGATGGATGGTAGCTCACAGCATGACCCTTGGTGGATTTCTGGATTGAGAGGCCCTGCTGTGGGAATCCCATGTGTGTGTACACCACCATGAATCAGAATAACACAGCTAATGATTCTTCTGGTAGTAAGCCTACAGAAGGAGGCCCTCCAGCTGGACGCATACCAGACCCCTGGCCACTCAGGACATACTTCCCCTGGGTTCCTGGCTTCAACCTTTGATGGCTTTCCATGATTGCCTGACTGGTTTTTTGGCCCAGCTGGGAGATTATTTATCTTCCACTTTGGACACTATCAGGAAAATCTCAACTGTGTCTGTGAGAGCTTAAGTTGACTGACAGGCCTAGCCTAGCTTAGGCCTGGGTGGGCCCCTACCTCAATAGAGACCTGCCCTTGCCTAATGATTATGAACTCTTCTGCCAGAATCTCAAAGAAGTTATTCAAGACCCAAACAGTTTCGTTGAGTATCATGCCACTGTCTCCTGTCCTCTGCCTTCCACATCAAGCCGGTCTCCAGGGGCTGCCAGAGTTGCTCAGAGTAAGGCATTACATAGTTAGGCACTTAGTGGGCCTAGCATTTAATGTCGATACTCCCCTGAGGCCTGCTTTAGCCGCTCCCTCCAACCCCTGCTTGGTTCAAGCCTAACTATATCCAGAAGTTTTTGGACTGAGCAGTAGCTGGCCAAGGAGAGCTGCCCTGGGCCCCAAAAGCCCGTGACCCAGTCTAGCTCTGCATGCAGTGCATGCATGCTCTGATTGCACTGCTGTGAGGTCAGCTGCTCCCCACCGAAAGGATGCAGACCCCAAACTTGTCTCAGTACCTTCAAAATCTGTTAACTCCTATTCCTGAAGCTAGAGAACAGAAGAATTTTGAAACCTAAGGTGACCAGGAAGTATCTCTGGGTACCTGACATCCCACAAAAGCCACCGTTTGTTACATTCTCTAGTCCTCATCCCTGCATTCTGACCATGCTCTAGATGTGCAGCAGTGTTCCTGGTGATGTAGAACTCTGCTCAGCGAGGGGTCCCATAGCACCCAGACAGCACAGTGCTGTCCACAGATGACTCCATTGACCCACAGCTGGATAGTTAGACATGTGAGCTTGCCCTGCTCCTGCCAGAATGTGGGCATGTGTTGAGCTCCTAGGTGAGGTCTTACCCCACACCTGTTTCTGTAGATCAGCCTCCATCAGACTGTAGCACTGTTGCCAGATGCAGCCCCCACAAAGAACTATGGTGGTGTTTCTGGCCCCTTGCCCTGCTGTCTGACCTCTGATGCTAGACTACAATGGAAAGAATACTGCTTGAAGGAAGCCACTGCTCCTTTTTAAATGATTTGATTTTTTTGTTTTTGAGACAATGTTTCCCTGTGTAGCCTTGAATGGCTTGGAACTTGATATGTACCACTCTGACCTTGATCTCACAGAGAACCCTCCCCCTCCCCCCCGCCTCTGCCTCTGACTTCTGGGTTTAAATCTTTTTTATTTTTATTTTTTAAATGGTGTATCTATGGAGTACAATATAATTGGGCACATAGATGTATAATGATCCAATCTGGTGATTGTTGTTTTCTTTTCCTAAACGTTAATCATTTCTTTGTATGGGATTGCATTTGCACTCCCCTCATGGTTCCTTATAAAATATGAAATGCATTATTGTCACCTATAAGTGTATGTTTTGCTATGGAGTTATCTAACCTTCATGTCATGCCTCCTGAACTTTTCTGTCCTGTTCCCATTATCTGCCTTTTGCTTTTGCCAGATCAACTCTGATAGCTTCCATGTACAGATACATGTGACCTTTGTCTGAGAGCCTGGGCTTATTTTACTTAATAGTGCCTTTGGTTCCATGTTGCTTGGATTTGTTTTGTTGGTTTTTTTTTTTGTTTTTTTGTTTGTTTGTTTGTTTGTTTGTTTTTGGTGCTCAAATAATACCCAGTTGTATGATGTGTATACTGCCTTTTAAAAAGAACCACTCATCAGATATTGTACACTTTGGTGGATTTCATTTCTTATGAGCAGGGCAGAAAGCAGCCATATTCATCCTTCTGAGGGATAAGATGGCATCTTGGCTGAGAATCATACTTTCTGTGGGTGTATTCAAAGCCCTGGCCAGCTAGGAGGTTTGAATGCAGAAGGGTAGAAGCTAGGCCTCTTACTAGGTCCAACTCTACTCATTCCCCCTTTTACATGGCAACATTCTCACTATACCTGGTTATGCTTACACAAGCTACTCCCTGCTCTACAAGCTCATGCTCGAGTACACACACATACACCACATGCACACACGCACGCACGCACGTGCATACACACACACACACATGCACAGAGTGTCACATTGATTCTTCAATACTTAAAGCTGTGTTGATGGAAGTGACTTGCATCTCCTGGCAGATTGAGCTTCCTTGTCATAGTTTTGGTATGGATATGTGTCCCTGAAAGCATTGCTAGTCTAAATAAACAGGAGTTGACTTACTATGGAGTTATGGTGGCTGCTAACAGTCCTTGTATTGAGAACAGAAGCTCTGTACCTAGTCTATCAGCAGAACACAACAAGTGTTATAGGTGTGCAGTGGTGGTTCCCAATGGAGGCTGTGAAGGTGAGAGGGTCTGACAGAAGGGGGTGAAGCCAGATGGGGCACGGAGTGCCAGTTGTTGGGTGGCCTTGGGATTGGAATGAGAAAAGCAGGTAGCAGAAGGAATGTGAGGCCTGGGATTGGAATGAGGAAAGACCAGTTTTGCTTAAGGATGAGTTTCTAGGGAGAGCTGAGCATGCACAATTCCTTTGAGCCAGATTGACCTGAGATAGAGACAGCCTCCCAGTACAAAGTGTGTACCTACTTAGACAAGAGAGGGAACCTTCCTGGATGCTTAACAGAACTACAGGTAGGAGATACAGCTGGCTGCTTTAGGAGAGGCCATGATGAGCAAACATCTGGTGAGACTTGGATCAGGTTGTTGAATTGTTTGGTACCTTGCTAAAGAGACGTTTTGGATCCAGGTGGTTTATTTGTAAATTATTTCTAGGCACAGACATCATATACACAAAACAGCTGGGAATGTTGCTAACAAATGATTGTGCAGTAACTTTGGGCTTCTGATCCAGTTTTGCCCAGCTATGCCATGATTGCTCATTGCTGGAACAGACTGTTCTCTTCAGTTGATTGTGGCTGGGCCTGCCTGTGGGTCTGATGGTGGGACCTGGAATGGCTTTCTGGGACAATGGTCTATTTACTCACTGGCCCTTGCCATTTTGCTGGCCCCTAATGCATCTGTCTTCCCACCTCTGGTGGACCTGAAGTGAACCCTTCTGCTTGAAATCACCATCATTACTGCTGACCCTGCTCTTCCTGGGGCATCTCTTGAAGGCTTGGGAATGGTTGCCTATGTCTGCAGACCTATTGCTTTCAGCAGAGTCTGAGACATTGGGAGACTTTGTAACGCCGCAACATTTGAAGCACTTGGATTTTGAAATAGAGAAACAATAGTGTAGCAAACCATTTTAGAGCCATGTAGGTTAATAATTCATTACATTATTAGTGGTATTTCAAATGCATGTTAATAAAGCCACTTTGACAACTGGTTGACTTTCTGGAAAGCAGTGGAGCAGCACACCTATATCCATTGTGCCACCACACACTCAATATGGATTAAAGATGACATTTTTTAAGGTCATAAAAATGCTTGTTAGCTTCCTTGTAACAAGGGCTGAGTAATCAGTTTGTGAGGAAGAAAGATCTGGGGTCACAATTTTGGAGGTTTTAGTCCACTGTTTGTTGGTAGCTTATGGTGGCACCATGTAGCAGAACCATTCACCTCATGTCTAGGATGAGAAAAAATGAAAAGTAGCAGCAGAGAACCCAGCATCCCCTTCAAGGGCACTTCTGTGACTTGAAAACTTCCATGGACCCCACCTAAGGTTCCACTACCTCCCCGCAGAGCATTTAAGATCTAAACTAGAGCAGTTCTACAGAAAGCACATACAGTTCTACAAGTTTAAAGTTTTACATGTCCAGAATTGCCAAGTGTATGGCAGATGGGCTCCATTTTGTTGTTGGGGATATAAATTGCTTAGGTTTCACCACCTTAATAGTTCTAGCTGTATGTGTGTGACCACTTATCCACATGCTGTAGTCGTGGTGTGTGGGATCTGAGAGCAGAGATGAGTTTTGTCACACCTGTTTGTTTATCTGACCCCTGTTAGGTTTTAGTTTGTCCTCACTGGGTGCCCAGGAGGGTTGAATGAGGATATCCACTGTGTCCTGGCTGAGGCCTAAACCCCTATGGCTTTCTGTCATTACATTATGAACAGCAAAACTAGAAGCGTTAAAGATCCAGCAGGAGGGGCAGAGCAAGTAGAGCTGTCATTTTTACAGCTTCTTCTGTCAGCATCAGCTAGAACTTAATAACCTCTGACCTGAGTGGGCACCTCATTGCTGCCTGTCCCACGTTTCTGGGAGCGGACTGGATATGCTCTGCTTACTGTTGTACTTCAGAAACACTTATCAGCAGGTCTCCCATCTGCACATGCCGTGGGAGTCACTCCACCTACACTATTGTGGCCAAAGGAAGCCACAGCTGTACCTGAGCTACAAAGGTCCTCCTCATGTGGGGTGGTGCCTAAGTCACTGTTCTATTGCTGTGAAGAGACACTGTGACCAAGGCAGCTCTGGGCTTGGTATGGGCTCTTGAACCCTCAAAGTCCAACCCCCCCCCCCATGACACACTTCCTCTAACAAGGGCACATCTCTTTATCTTTCTAATCCATTCAAATAGTGCCATTCCCTGATGACTACGCTACAAATGGACGTTTCACTATCCCACCCTGTCCTATAGCTGCTTTTAAATAATCACCCAGAGGCTTAATATTAATTGCAAAATGCTTGACTGAACAGCTCGGGCTTATTACTAACTAGTTCTTACTTTTAGACGAACCCATTTCTATTAATCTGTGTTTTGCCATGTGTCTGGTGGCTTTACCTGTGCTCTCATCTTGTTCCTCTTGGTGGCTGGCTGGCATCTCCCTGACTTTACTCCCCTTTCTCTCTGTATTCAGCTTGACTTTCTCGTCTAGCTTTATTCTGCCTTGCTATAGGCTAAAGCAGCTTCTTTATTAACCAGTGAGAGGAATACATATTCACAGCCTGCAAGAGAATTATCCCACAGCATTAATTGTTCAACTATATGAGCCTATGGGTGCCATTCTTATTCAAACCATCAAAGTGAGTTACTTAGTATTGAGTTGAATAAGCAATTTTTCACATTGGAGGCAGCCATTGTGGAGAAAGGGTGGGCCTGTAATCCATAGAGTAAGTGTTCAAACCAGAAATATGTCTCATGTTTCTGGAGTGGAGAAATCCAAGGTCAAGTTGCAAGTCGAGTGGTTTTTTTCTAAGGCCTCCCCCTTGGTTTGTGTATGGCCATCTTCCCTGTGTCCTTGCCCAGTAAATCCATTTGAATCTGTTTCCACTTCTTAATCCACTGGGACACCAAGCATGTTGGATCAGGCCTACCCTAAAGATATTTTACCTAAACTACCTCTTGAAGTATCCTATCCAAATATAAGCTTGTTCTGTCACAGTGGGGTCTAGGACTTGAGCTGAAGAATTGGGTACTTCAGCCTAGAGCAATGCCCAAGATGTATTTTATTTTCATTTTGTAGTTTTCAACAGTGCTGTGGACAGCCCTCTGTACTGTTTGCAGGGCCCCCAGGGCCTTGGTCTTGGGGCCAGTGCTGGGGTGTGGCATTGCTAGTCT